GCCCATTGCTGGATGAGGGTCACCCTGCTGCCCACCAGAACCCCCAGGTCCCTTTCTCCTACACTGCTCTCCAGCAGGTCAGCCCCCAACCTATACTGGCACATGGGGTTATTCTTTCTCAAATACAAAACTCTACACTCGCGCTTGCTGAGCTTCATAATATTTCTCCCTGCCCATCCCTCTAGCCTGTCTAAGTCTCTCAGCCTTCTGGTGTGTTAAGCACTCCTGACAGCTTCGTGCCATCAGCAAACTTGCTAACAATGCTCTCCAATCCCACATCCAGGTCATTGATGAATATATTGAATGTTGCTGAAGAACAATGACATAAATGCAAGCGTGGTCAGCATAGAGGGTTTTGTCTAGATTCACTCTCATTTTAAGTGGAACTGCATTTAAAGCTATCAAAACAGTATGAAGCTTTTTAGATTTAAAGCCCTCAATACTTGCAACCTGTTTTTTAGCCTCCATAGCATGTCTAGTTTGATAAATGTGGTCCCAACAGCTCCAAACAATGACATCAGCACTGTACCTTCCTCTGTTGTTCCTGGCTGGCCTTCAGCAGAAGGAACAGTAGTAAGCTTTTAATCTATACATGTCTTAGGGCACATGCTGACTGCTCCTAATCACCCTCTTATCCTTGATATGGCTAGAGACAGCACCGAGAATAAGTTGTTCCATCACCTTTCTAGGGATGGAGGTGAGGCTGACCAGTCTGTGGTTACCCACGTCCTCCTTCTTGCCCTTCTTGAACATTGGAGTGACATTCACTTTCCTCCAGTCTTCAGGCACCTCTTCTGTTCCCCAGGACTTACCAAAGAGGATGGAGGGTGACCTAGCAATGACCTCTGCCAGCTCCCTCAACACTCGTGGGTGCATCCCATCAGGGCCCATGGATTTATGGATGTTCAGATTGCCTAACTGATCCCAGTCAAAACACAATCAGAATTCAGGAAATCTTCTTAACATGGGTCAGTTGGTGTTCTTTTTAAACATTATTACTGAATTTTAAAATGCATTAATTTTTAATTCTAGTCATTCATTTTAATCTATTCATAGATACTAAAAATTTAAGCTATTTGCTAAACGTATATTAGAAATTAATACCATAAGTTGTTTTGTCATTAAATGAAAACAGATGGCAAGTTCCAGAACTCCCCAGCAGGATGCTATGGATAATAATTTTGTGGATAACAAAAACCTAATGGACAAACTATTGCATAAAAATAAAAATCTATCAAGGTCTATGAAGTGACAGAACCATCCTGTTTTCAGAAGCCCTGAGCCACAAAGCAAGAGTTGGGAAACTGTTCTGACAAACTATCACTACCCTGACCCACCCTTCCCCTGGTGTCTACTACTGGTACATTACTGTCAGCCACTGCCAAGACACAGAAGAGCTGTCATGAGACTGTCATTACACTTGAAAAAATGTTAAGAAAATTTTTTTTTTAAACATCTTTTAAATTGTGCCCCATACTCTTCCCTTCTGCAGAAGTAGGATGGGAAAGAAGAAATGGTAAGACTTAAAAAACCTAAGCAAAACCCCACCAGAAAAAAATTAAAAAATAAATTCCCAGGCAGGTTTATACTTTCTTTTTGTCTTCTCTCTTTTGCCTTTTTCCTTCTGCCTGTTTAAGGGGAACAGATAGTGTGAATGACCACATTCATTTGGCAGGAGAGTACACAGTGAATTATCTGGAACAAATCAGAGTGCAAATACTCACACATCCGTGAGAGCAGTGATGGGAAAGAGGGCTAAGAGAGAAGAGGGAAAAGAAGTTTGAGAACCAGTGACCTGGATAATGTTTTAATGGGGCATTTTATTTTTCTATAATATGGTAGTCACAACTTTGTACATCAAAACACAGCAATGGTTCACAACACACATTTATCTGCACTTACCTTTTTATTATTACCAGAAAGAATACGAGCTTCTAAGTTAGACCACTTCACACTATATGTTACAAAACTTAACAAAAAAATTCAAAATGACTTCAAAATACTTAATACTTATTTCCTTTTATTTTTTTACTATAGCATCATTCTAACTGTACTGGCACATATTCGCATATCTTTCCTTTCTATTGTTATTACAAAATTATTGGAAGCTAAGCCATTAAGCAGCAATGGTTTACTCTGTAGCCAATTTTATCCAAATAAGATAGCGTGTTAATTTTCCTTATCTTTGTCAGTGTTGGCAGTAAGTGTAAAAATATAAAGATAATGAGGAGAAAAAATAAACACAAAATGGAAAAAGTTTCCAATATACATACTAAAAGTTTGGCTGTTGTTTGGTTTTGTTTGGTTTGGTTTTTTGTTTGTCTGTTTTTCTGCATTTTTGTTTTGTGGGTTGTTTTGGTGGGGTTTTTTGAGGGGAGAGGGGATTGTAGCAGAGCAGAACTTCTGCCATTAGGGACTGAAAAACAACAGAAATTTAGTACTTGTTCAACACGAACATCTTCAAAATAACAACATCGCTGTTAAAAAAACCACAATATTGATCAGTATAAGAACTCCAAACACGGCCTTATATGTTATTCCAGTATCAAATTGCATCAAAATAGATTTGGACTGATACCAATGATAATGAGCTACCACATACTTTAAAATATATTTGGCACGAGAAAACTAAACGGTTATAACATATGACTCTTCCCTATGTCAAATATCCATCCACATACCCCAGGAGTTTTTGCAGCTGCTGTTAAGGCAAACATCTAGTATCAGCTTTCAGCTTTAAAGCTAACTCATTTGAACTGCAGAGGTTAAAAAAAAAATATTTACCAAGTTTACTATGCATCTTCTAGTTTACTGACAGTTACAGGAAGAGAAAAATATCTGGATCCTCTGAAATATCTCTCACTTATCCAATTAGTATTATGTACTGTAATTATAGCTTCTGTAAAGTGTTTCCATTCCAGCTCTTCCATGTCAGGAGTTCAGCTTAGTCTTTATTCCAGAACAGCCTAAGTTCTGTAGCTCATGTAGCCTCTTTTGAAATAGGTTCACCACATTGTTCAAGTAGCACAGATAATTTTAGACATTACAGTGCTAGATAATATATCAATGTATGTTTTCTTGCCTATTAATAATAAGCTGACTAATTTTCAGAAATAAGCTCCTTCCTTATTCTCCATACTTTTAAACTATTAGAAAGTCACTTACCTAATGCTTTAGCTTTTAAACAGCAAGCACTTCACTCTTCTACAACAGTTCACAAACTATAATTATATACAATAATCTCCTACATGGACTTCAGTACAGTACAACATTTTCCAGAAAGCTCTGCTCTGTCTGACCAGTTCAGCTCTGGGGTCCCCAAGGTAAGAAAGACATGGATATGTTGGAGATGGTCTAAAGGAGGGACACAAAGATGATCCAAGGGCTGGAGCACCTCTCCTAGAAGGACAGGCTGAGGGAGTTGGGGTTGTTCATCCTGGAAAAGAGAAGGCTCCAGGGAGACCATATAGAAGCTTCCCAGTACTTCAAGGGGCCTACAGGAAAGATGAGGAGGGACTGTTCACAAGGGTGTGTAGCGATAGGACGAGGGGCAATGGTTTTAAACTATTAACATAGTAGATGTAGATTAGACATTAGGGTGAAGTTCTTTACTGTGAGGCTGGTGAGGCACTGGAACAGGTTTCCCAGAGAAGCTATGGATTTCCTCTCCCTGGAAGTATTCAAGGCCAGGCTGGATGGGGCTTTGAGCAACCTGGTCTAGTGGGAGGTGTCCCTGCTCATGGCAGGCGAGTTGGAACCAGATAATGCTTAAGGTCCCTTCCAACCCAAACCCTTCTATAATTCTATAATTTCTTAGTCCATACCTACACAATACCTCATGTCTGAGGTTTGAAACTAGAAGTATCTTATACTCCATTCTATTACACACTTGACAAATATAGAGGCAATCTAACAAAGTTCCTTAAGAACAATTTTGAAATTCACTACCTGATTTTGTCAGTTTAAAAACACTGGCCTTAGGGCTGTTCTAAATAAACCCCTTTTTGAACAGTAAATTGTTTGGTTATAAAAACAGTTAAAACTTAAGGACATTTACAACTTTCACTGTTAAATTTGTCTTTCATTTGAAGGGGGGGAAAAAACTAATCGATTTAACATT